ACCACCAACAAACAAGAACCCCATTAATTTAGATTTTAAAAATTATAATAGATCTGGTGAAAATAAATAAATACGTTTGAAATTTTTTTTTGTTGAAAAAAAAATAAAAATAAAAGTGTTTGACCAAATTATTTCGTGGATACACGGTGAGTGCAGGACACCGACAAAAAGACTTCCACCTGTTCAACATTAACATCAACATTTGGCATCCAACTCGTTCACGCTCTACGGACATTTATTGCACACGAGTCATTCATAAAAGCATTACATTATAAAACATTAGAAATCATAAAATATTTCTTATTATAGATCTAGTCAAGCTTTAATATTGTTAATTTGATATTTGACTTTCAGGTTGACTTCCCATTAACACTTGTACATACTCCCCATGAGTGATGAATTTTAATAATGCATGAATTGGGTGTTGGTGCTTGGCGGGAGCTGTAGTGGTTCGCTAAGCTCCCTTTCTGTCCAATTTTGTTCGCCCATCTCTCCTCCTACCTTTCTTTGTAATATATTGCTCTTTGGTAACTTTGTAATCCCTGGTACCTACGTGACCTATTAGTGTTGCAGGTGCCATAAAAATCTTATATTATTATTAAAGCTATCGTTTTTAAACTGAAGAAAATTTTAAAAAAAAAAAAAAAACGTTGGACCGTTCCGTTCATGCATTATGTTCTGTTAATCTATAAATAATATTGCTGTGGTATTATGTTCAGATTAAGTATGGACGGGTTCCAGTTGTAGACCCTACTTTTTTTTTCCTTTCCCTCGATTGTTTCTGTCTGCCTATTCCGTTTGTTTCGTTTTGTGGGTTGTTTTTTTTTCTTTTGGTTTCTTTTTTTGTTGGTGAGGGGGGGGGGGCTTTTTGTTCTAGTTGTTTTTGTTTTAAATTATTGCTTTAAAATACCGAATTGAAGCTGTCTCATCGACGTACATTGTACTAATTTCTACTTAATTAATTCATTTTTTGAGGGAAGGGAATAGTACAGAGGGTTAAACTTTACTTTTACGAAAGGGTTACTAGTAGAGTTCGGCCCACCTTCTCAAACTGCTGGACCTAGTGCGCAATAACCGGGGTAACGAGACACTGCACGCTGTGATCAACAATGATTAAAGAAGATATTGGGGGGAGGGGGGGGTAGGGGGTGTAGGGGGAGTAGCCTTTACTTTTACCGACAACGGTTGTTTTGTTTTGCTTCCGTTTGTCGCTCCTGGGGTGTGTTTTTTCTTTAAGCGGGTGGGTGGTTTGCCAGTATTCAAGTGTGGTTTGCTCCTTTTTTCCTATCAAACATAAAACCCTCCTTCTTTTCTTTGTACGTTGCTCTCTTGAAAAATCTTTAATCTACGGCACTTATACGGCTTATTTGTCTTGCAAGTCCCGTAAAACACTTACAAAAATTTAAACTTCTACTTTAAGACAGGGGAGGGGTTGGGGGTGGTGCTGTTTTGAAAGACATCACGGAGGACAGTTATATAACGAATGCCTCGGAACGAAAGAATGAGGGACGCAACACAGCAGTGATTGTATTCTATTATAATGTACAGCATGGATTCATTAACATTGATGAGGCAGCGTGGTGGAATCAGGCTCTCGTTAAAATAATCCAAGTGAAAAAACTTGCATTTTTCCGCAGGTTTGTGAATTTTTATCAAATTTTTGTTTTTTGGCTCAACACCTTTCATGCTCATTAAAGAACTCATTTCTGTGTGGATTTTTCAGAAAAGCGTTGTTTTAAGGCACAAAATTGTAAATTTTCAGTTACCACGGACTATTAAGCTAAGGAAATAACTAATCGTTGGCTGCCATTTTCTCTCTAATTTTACCTCTGAAAACTGGTGACCCCACCTACTTCTTTCGCAAATATCTCGACTTGTATTCAAGGAAAACGGACATTTTTTTCATCCAAATAAAAACAAGCAAACAAGCTTTAAGATGATACCAATAACTCTACATGCCCAAAAATTGACGAGAGCCTGATTCCACAACGCTGCGTGTTTGTGAGGCGAGACCCAGAGGTGACTCTCTCTCTCTCTCTCTCTCTCTCTCTCTCTCTCTCTCTCTCTCTCTCTCTCTCTCTCTCTCCCTCTCTCTCCCTCTCTCTCTTCTGTCTGTCTGTTTATCGGCCTGTCTGTCTCTATTTCTCTCTGGGTGTCTCTTTGTTTCAGTCTCTGTCTCTCTGTCTGTCTGTCTGTCTGTCTGTCTGTCTGTCTGTCTGTCTGTCTGTCTGTCTGTCTGTCTGTCTGTCTCTCTCTGTGTGTGTGTGTGTGTTCTGTTTCTCTTTCTCTCTGCTCTCTGTCTGTCTCTCTGCATCTGTCTGTCTCTCTGCATCTGTCTGTCTGTTTCTCTCCCCTTCTCTCTCTCCCCCTCTCTCTCTTTTCTCTCTCTCTCTCTCTTTTCTCTCTCTCTCTCTCTCTCTCTCTCTCTCTCTCTCTCTCTCTCTCTCTCTCTCTCCCGCTCTCTGTCTCTTTCGCTCCACCTCCCCCCCCCACCAATTCTCTCAGCGTGAAATCCCAAAGACTTCTCGGCTCTCGAGCATCGTCCTCAACTTTCCCCAGACATTTGGCCCTGTACCGCTGAGCATAAAAAATTTACAATAAGCTAGCTCATTAACGCGTACCCTATTCTTTTTATTGCAAATTCACAAGAGCTTTACAATTGTCGTCTCCTGCTAATCGCTACGCTTGGTGCATCATATTATGGATTCACAACGTGAATCGAATTTGTTCCGAAAAGGTTTTGGTAAGGAAAGATTCCCCAGACATCGATTAAATTATAGCAGCGTCTATTTTTTTGCTTAAGTAGGCCTCGATTGTTTGCTTGTTTAGTTGGTTTATTAGTTCGATTTGCTTTCGTTCTCTTTTGTTGTATTTGTTTCTTTGTTTCTTTGTTCGCGTATTTGTTTGTTTGTTTGTTTGTTTGTTTAGTCAACTAATCTCGGGGGGGGGGGGGGGGGGGTACAAACGTCGTTCCATACAAATCGAAATAAAAACTTTTCTTCTCCACCCCTGAGCACTGGTTTTGGAAATTCTTTCTGAATAATATATAATGTTTGTATAACGCAAAACCAGCTCAACAGCAAGCTCTATGCGCTTTACAACCGATAGTATTACCCCAGCAGACCTGATAGCATTCTGAAACAATCTCAACTTCCTGAGAAGCATACAGTGCTACTCATAAATACGAGTATATCAACAGTACTGAAAAAAACATGCTTTTTAGGACGTCTCTTTGACTACTTTTAAAACTAAACAGTTCATTTAGGTCACTGAGCATTAATCAAGTCTTATGAGCGCCTTAACATATCGCCCCCTTTTTTAAAAAGAATATACGTTTCGATGGAGGGTATCATTGGTAAGTCCTGCTCCTTTCTTTCCCTCTGTCGTTTCTATCTGTATTGTTTTCCCCCATACTTTGTCTGGTCGTTATTGTGTTGATGTCTTTCTTTTTGCCCGATTTGTGTTTTTTTTTGCCCAAACTACTTTCTTTTAGCCCAATATACTTTTTTAACCATAACTACGTTGTTTTCACCCAATCTACCTTCTTTTTATCCAAACTACTTTCTTTCACTCAAACTGCCTTTTTATACCCATACTAACTTCTTTATGTGCAACTTGAAACTAAATCTTGACAGAATAACAACAACAACAACAACAATAACAACAACAACAGCATCAATAACCACAACAATAGTAACAACAACGATGAACAAAATAAAAAAGATGGCGTAATATAGAATACATTTCAAGCTCGTGAAAGCAACATTTACATTTCAGAAATGGTATGATATTATAAACATCATGAACATTTACAAAACATGGGATAAAACAATTTTTATATCATATTAAAATTTGATGAGATTCAAATATTCAACATTATCACATTAACCATACAACTATTTATCAATGGAATAGAAGTCAAAGTCTTGAGAACCACTGAAGTAAAGTTGGTTACCGACTTGGTAAACACCCGAAAGTCTCGAAGTTCGGGGACATCTTAATAATACCGTATGCCATTGTGGCCTACATCTCGAGCTTCCTGGAATATTATGTGTTCTCTCTGCTCGGTGTAGGTCTAATGACTAGGGGTCAATTGTGAAGAATTCCCAGGAGGAGTTATACCCAGCGCACACCACCAATTGGATTCATCGGACGGAGTCGGGGCGAGCCATAGTTTTCTTCATGGAAAAGAACCCTTCTAGACCACCCCGCCCTACGCACTAGTTTTGGAAAGTTACTATTCTTACTTCAAAATACAATATCTCACTTTCTTGTAAAGATCATTTAAAAAAACAATAATGAAGTGCTTAACAATCAGGGAGATCCCAGATTTCAGAAAAGCACAAAAAGTGAGAATGTCCCAAAGGCGAAATAGTTCTGATTCCCTCAGACAGACTCAATATCAATGGTACTAGAAGAAAACTGAGAATTCAATCTTCTCGTCGAGTTCTTTTAAAATTATGCAGTTTTCATTTTGGCCCAAAACGAACGATTCCAGCTGCGACCTTGAAAAACCAATAAATGCGTCTGATTTTGAAGGTTACCATCGGGTATTGCTGAATTCAATGGTTTTGTGCCAAATTACATGTCATGTGGCAGCTTTTTCCCCATCCATGGAGGAAAGTCTGCCAGGCCACGACTCAGTCTGATGAATCTGATTTGCAGTGTGCTCAGGGTATAATTTAACACGGTGTTTTTCCCCTTCTAGAAATCACATTGACAGTCTTTGTTTGAACCTGGCATGAAGGGGGCGTGGTCTAGTGCGTGATGGGGGAGTGGTGTAGTGGCGTGAGGGAGATTGTTCAAAAACATCATCCTGTTCTAGACCTGGGGGTGTGAAGTAATGGTGTTCCGGGGGAGGTTGGGGGGAGGGGTGGATTGGTCCAGTGGCGAGATGGAGGCTGTCCCAGAACGCCGTGATGCTCCAGTCCTGGCTTGTCAGGGGGCGTGGCCTAGTGGCATGACGGGGGCGTGGCCTGGTAGCCTGACGGGGCGTGGCCTGACGGGGGCGTGGCCTGACGGGGGCGTGGCCTGACGGGGGCGTGGCCTGGTGGCATGACCTGGTGGCATGACGGGGGCGTGGTCTGGTGGCCTGACGGGGGCGTGGTCTGGTGGCATGTGAACTCTTCTAGAACGCCGTGGTGCTCCAGCCGATGTTCGAGACCGCCCTCTTGGGCTGGCACCTGATCCACTGCCACAGGTCTCGGAACATGGCCTTGAGCTCGCGCCGGAACCTGGAGCCGGTGATGCAGTACAGGATGAAGTTGATGGAGTTGCTGGTGTACATGCAGGCGTTGGCGCACACCTCGAACAGCTGTCTGCCAGCGGAGAAGCCGCGCCCGGGGAACATGTAAGGCTGGGGATAAATAGACAAATAAATAAATAAACACATACACGAAAAAAAAAAAAAGTATATAAATAAATACATTTATAAATTAATAAATATGTAAATACATAAATGAATGCATACACAAATAAATACATAAAAGAAATAAACGGACGATCATTACATTACATGATAGGCTGTTTATTCAAAATGAAGACCATGCCTCTCACCCCCCCCCCCCAAAAAAAAACACCCCAACCCCCAACCCCTTTTTTCAAGTCCTCCGTTTTCAGGGGACAATTCAAGTTTATACATCTTTAATACAGAGTAGAAGCAGTAGACACCCAAAGAACTAAATGACATTTGTTGCATAAATATCATTTTACAAGGATAAAACAAAATGACCAACCACTATATTACTTTTTATGGTCTTTTATTTTTGTCCAATAAATGAATAACCCCGGGGCGGTGCCACTGACTGACGTGTCTTTAGGGACATTTCTCGTTCATGCACAGTAGAATTATAAATGGGCTGATTCATCAATGTCACGCTCATAACTGTGCCTGATCTACAACAGGAAACTGCTGCTTTTTCTTTCCTAATCCTTACTCTTGTCATTTTTTCTCTACTTCTTTTGTATGTTTGTCACACTCTTTTGACCCGCTATTTCCGGGGTGCCTTGATAGTCGAAGCAGACTTTGTGCTGTTGAAGCTAGAGAGGTGAGCAGAGCAAGTCTGATTCCCTGTAAGGACTTCTCTGTTGACATCCACCCCTTGGCGCTCATATGACTTTATGCAGTTGCGAGCGCCGCAAAACCTCTACTAAAACTAAAAGAAACTAAAAACAATAAATGCAGTCGGAGATGTTGGTCGTTAGGTCCAAAAAGCATTCCGGCTGCACGATGTCTGCTTGTGCTCTGATGTAATTTTTGCATTATATTTCTTGATCAGTGAGTAGAGTACAAGAATTTATAAGTAGATGTAGTATGACTAAACTACTGTAGAAAAAATAAGTGAACACCCTGACTCTGCCCTCCCCCCTCTCCCTCTCTCTCTCTCTCTCTCTCTCTCTGTCTCTCTCTCTCTCTGTCTCTCTCTCTCTCTGTCTTTCTCTCTCTCTCTCTCTCTCTCTCTGTCTCTCTCTCTCTCTGTCTTTCTCTCTCTCTCTCTCTCTCTCTCTCTCTCTCTCTCTCTCTCTCTCTCTCTGTCCCTCTCTCTCTGTCCCTCTCTCTCTCTCTCTCTCTCTCTCTCTGTCTTTCTCTCTCTCTGTGTCTTTCTCTCTCTCTGTCTCTGTCTCTGTCTCTCTCTATCTGTCTATCTATCTATCTCTCTATCTCTCTCTCTTTCTCTATCGCCTTCATATAAATGTAAGTAGGCTTTTCCGCCCTCATTAAAACAGTTTAACTCACTTAGGAGGCAGGGCCACCCCAAGCTGAGAGGGATACAATGTCCCTGCAGAAAAACCGAGATACTCGACAGATATTATCGCCTCACGGGAAATTGAACTCGGGTCTTCTGTGTCAAAACAGCGACACGCCTAATCGATATACCTCAAACGCCTGTCAAGTCTCCTATCCTCGAGAAGGCAACTTTTCCGCTTGGTGCAGAACACTAGCCTAAAGCGCAGATGATGACCTAACCACTCCATTTTGTTACCCGAAAGGAGATAAAAATTAATACGTGTATAAAATGTGTGGCATCATGGTGAAATCAGACGCTCGTCAAAATAATGAAGTCGAAAAAAAATCTACTTGTTTTCTTCCGGCTCTTGGGCAATTTTTACTTACTTTTTAAAAATGTTTGTCTCAACACCGTTTACTCCTTCTAAGCACATTTTAGGGTATACTTCGCAGTGGATTTTACTTAAAAACATTGATATCAGGCACACTCAGATGTAAATGTGCCGTTACAAAGAGCAGTCGAGCTTTGAAAGTCACCAAACTTTAGAGGCAACTTTCCCGCTCATTTTAACGCTGACACCTGACGACCCCCACCTTCACCATCTGCAAACATCTCGACTTCCATTCAAGACAGATAGGCATTTTTTCATTTAAAAAATAACGCAAATGAACAAGCTTTATTTAGATTTATTTAGATTATACCAAAAAAAATATATCCCCATATTCCCTAAAACTGACGAGCGCCTGATTCCAGCGTGTCGTAACACATTATAACAAAACACCCTGCTCATCTCTCTGGCCACGTAAGTGCACTAGGGTCTTTCGCGCGCCCGTCCGTCTGTCCCCGCCTTATTATCATCCCATATAGAACGTGACGATACTAAAGCATCCAAAAGGGAAATCGAGTACCTCTACAATGCTTCCTAAAAGACAATCCTAGAGAAATGTACCCCGTTTCCATGTCTCTCCCTCATCTCCCCCTATTTCTCCCTGGGGGAGTGAATGATGCTGTGTTCCGTGGCATCACGCATTTTCCTGTTTTATCGAGGGATTTCATTTCTGTTGATATTACGTGAGACACATGAATATATAGGACACAATAGAATAGCTAACGAACTCCCCCCCCAAAAAACAAAACAAAACAACAACCCAACAACAACCCAACAACAAAAAATTAAAAACCTTAAAAAATCACAAACTAACAAATCTACGTTTTGTGAGCGGATAGACTGGATCCGGTACCAACCCACAATTGAAATTCCAAACAAAGAGGAAACAACTTTGCCAGTACCAAAGGGCAGCAACCCCTGGCCACATGAGGGACCCCGGCTGTGAGACTCAGAGAGTGGAGATCCTGACATTTCAGAGGAGAAGAAAGCATTATTATTGAATTAACTTGTTTCAGTAAAAGCTGGGAGTGAACTTCTTCAAATCCTTTTCTGTTTCTTTTTCTTTTATCTGTGGCTTTTTACTGGTTAAGTTTTCGGGAAATTTGTTGATGTTGGCTGAAATTGAATTTATCCGCTTCTCTTTGTTGATAAGATAAATATTTTTAAAGTTGTATGACGAGTTTTATTCACTTATCGGAACAATTTAGGATGTTTAGAAGACAGACTGGTTCGACCTTAGCTGTTTGCCAGATCCAACCTGGGCTGACATATGAAGTCCATACCTACACCATAATCAAACTCATGTTTGGGGGCTCTCGTGGCCTAGACTCATTCAAAGGCACCGAGTTCGAATCCGGGTACGACCGAAAAAATGTTCTTCTCTAAAATTGTCTCCTTTCATGCACCTCCTTTCCTTCTCTTTAACAATGTTCTGTCGTCTGCTTTCGTCTCCAGTTTCTGCCCCACCCCCTCATCTCCCTTGCCCCCTCCTCTGGGCTCTTGACTTTTTCTTTCTGCCGCCTTTCTACTGCTACTCCTTGGCTCCTTCTTACAGCTGTCTTTCTGCCACACCCCTGATCTTCTGGTAGGAAAGATCTACACCTAGCCCTCTCGGACAAGGGCGAAAAATCTCGGAGGGTCTGTGAGCAAGTTGCGCACGTTAAAGATGCCTTGGTGGTCTAAAATCGATCAGAGTAGGCTTCGGCAGCTACCCGGGCAAAATTCAAAATTTCCTACCAACTGAAAAAGTTTAATGTGTCATATGACATTATGCAGATGCGAACGCCGTAAAACGCTTACAAAAACAAACAAAACAAACTTACGTTTTCTGCTCTGTGCGCGACAAAATTCATTTCGACTTAGAAGGTAGCACGGGTAGAGGATGATTATACTGTTGATGGATTTTGTTTGTTTGTTTATTTATTTGTTTGTTTTATGTTGAAAAACATCTTATAGGTAATAGGAGGTATAGGAAGCGAAAGAAGGTCAAGAATAGCTTACATAATTAACGTAAATACATGGTCGACTTTGAAAGACGGGGAAAATATTTATTAGGGTGGGGGGCATCTGGGCAGAGAAATGAGTAGCGAACCATGATCGCCGTTGTCTGGTTCAAATCTTAAAGAAGACATGAGTGAGGAAGAGTATGACAAATGATTCCTAGCGTTCGTATGTGTTTTTTGTTTTGGTAGGAAGTACATCGTATGTTATATTTTTTCAATGTTTCTATTTACTCTCGATTTTATAAAGACCATTAATCTTTACTCCAAAGTGTAGATACTGTTATTTCAAAGAAAACTACTGTGGGTTTTTAAACTGAAATTTTTACAATTAATATATATTTTATACACATCAACCGTTTTTACTTGCAAAGTAAATCCAAGCCGTGCTCAAGCTGTAAACTCAAGTGAATACAACCAATCTGTGTCCCGCGCGCTCGTAATGACCTTATGCAGTTACAAGCGCTGTAAAACATTTTCCAAACTTACCTATTAAAACTGTTTATCTCTTTTTACAAGCTTTGCAGTTACAAGCGCTGTAAAACATTTATCACTTTCTTCAGCAGAGCCTTTTGGAACAACCTCTAATCATAGCCAAAACCATTTACGTTAAATAAAAACAAACAAAATGGAAATGGCTTCATGAGTCATAATATCTCAGTCGAAAAAGTGTCATAAACCATTTCTTAACCGTTAATAAACAACGACCAGCCCCCACTCACCCACCTCACACACTTATAAAATTATTTTTTTTCCTTTGTAGATTTCTCTTTGCTCCCAGCCTACTCCTACTCAAATCTTCGCCCCCCCCCCCTCCTTCCCAACCCCACCTTTTCCCTTCCCACGCCATATTTTTCCTCCCTCGTGTATAATTCTGAGGGGCTCGGAGATATTAGTGATATTGGTGCCCCTGGCTATGCCTGGCGAGGGCAGAAATTTAGTACCAAAATAATTTTCAAAAAAAAACCACGCCTCACCCCACCCTCGACCACTTCCGCTTTTCTTCATCTGTTTGGGAAAATTGAAAAGTGGGAACAGCGAGGGGGAAATGAATTTGTTAGGTTTGTGGCACGAAACAAAATAGTGATGGGTGGATGTTTTGTTTTTCTTTGAACGTGTGTTATGTGTGCGTGTTTTTTTTTTGTATTGTAATTTTTCCTCTTTCTTTAAATATCAGAAATATACGTCCCCTTCCATCAACACAGAATATATCATTTGGGAGATCGGCTTCGACTCTGCCGTGGTTTTTATGTGTGTGTGTTTGTGTGTTAATTTGTTTCTGAGAGTGAATGTGTGTGTGTGTGTGTGTGTGTGTGTGTGTGTGTGTGTTTGTGTGTGTTTGTGTGTGTTTGTGTGTTTATGTGTGTGTATGTGTGTGTGTGTGTGTGTTAATTTGTTTCTGAGAGTGAATATATATGTGTGTGTGTGTGTGTGTGTGTGTGTGTGTGTGTGTGTGTGTGTGTGTTTGTGTGTGTTTGTGTGTGTTTGTGTGTTTATGTGTGTGTATGTGTGTGTGTGTGTGTGTTAATTTGTTTCTGAGAGTGAATATATATGTGTGTGTGTGTGTGTGTGTGTGTGTGTGTGTGTGTGTGTGTGTGT